GGGTGGCGTCCTACTGTGGCCTAGCGAAAGAGCCGCTCGGAGGGCGGTGATTCCGCTTGTAATGAATATATGAACACACCTAGTTCACAAACATTATAATACCAAATTATGCCACGGCATAACAATATATATATATATATATATATATATATATATATATATATATATATATATATATATATATATATATATATATATATATATATATATATATATATATATATATATATATATATATATTTCATGTAGATCCACAATGAAAACGTGGATAAGATAAATCTTGATAAAATCACATGGGAAAGGGGAAACAACGTAGCACCTTAGCTTTCGTCTTTATTCAAGACATCTTCAGAGGCAACTGGATTACATGGACAGAGAGAGGCTTAAATATACAGGGTGACCTTATTAAACATGAGGTCAGGTCATAATGATGTCATCCATTAATCCCCACACCTACACCAACCCACACATAGAGGAGCTTAAGGAAGGGGGCGACGTGACTAGTCAGGTCAGGTCAAAAATAAGGGCCCCACGAAATAACTATCCTACATCTAGATCCAAGGTCATTTTTAACCTTGGGCCACTGACAAATAAATTTATGTAACATATTATCAGTTTTGAATTGACCATCACTAAGGTTTATTGATTTTAATTCCTTAATCAAACTAGCTTCAACCACAAGTCTTTCTGTGACACAAGATGATTTGAATACTTCTAAGCTTTTTTCCCAAGCAATGGGATGATTATTATTCCTAACATGAACGAACAAGGCACTGCTTTCAGATGCTGTTCTGATATTAAGAACATAAGAATGGAGGAAACTGCAGCGGGCCTATTGGCCCATACTGGGCAGTCCCGTTTACACCCAACCCCTGTTGCTCATATAAGCATCCAACCTATGTTTGAAGCTATTCAGCGTATTTGAGTTAATGATGATATTTGCTAACTTGTTCCATTCATCCACTACTCTGTTTCCAAACCAGTGTTTACCTATTTCACGCCTAAATCTAAATTTGTCTAATTTAAAACCATTGTTATGAGTTCGCTCCTGGTTGGATAGTTTGAGTACCTTTGTAATGTCCCCTGTGTTTAGCCGTGACTTCCACTTGTACACCTCTATCAGGTCGCCGCTCGCTCTACGTCTCTCGAGGGAGTGCAAATTAAGATGCTTTAACCTGTCTCTATACTCAAGGCTCCTAATGCCCGGGATTAGTCTTGTCATTCTCCTCTGAATTCTTTCCAATGATTCTATATCCATTCTGTAATACGGTGACCAGAACTGAACTGCATAATCCAGGTGTGGTCTCACAAGAGCAAGATACAGTTTTAGGATGACCTCGCTAGTCTTGTAACTAACACTCCTTTGTATGAACCCAAGTACTTTATTAGCCTTGTTACGAGCAAAAACACATTGTTTACTTGGCTTAAGGTTGTCTGATTCTGAGCTGCAATGTTTTTCCTGTCTGTCCTACATAATTACGAAAGCTAAGGTGCTCCGTTGTTTCCCTTTTCCCCGTGTGATTTTATCAATATATATATATATATATATATATATATATATATATATATATATATATATATATATATATATATATATATATATATATATATATATATACACAGTATATATATATATATTTTGTTCCTACCACCTACCCTACCACCATATGGCTCACCATCAACCATCACTACCACTCACCATCATCACTATGACCCACACTCACCTACTACCTACCACTCCCACACCACCATCCACTTGGCTCACCATCCAACCATCCCATCACTACCACCCACCATCATCACCATGACCCACCATCACTACCACCATAACTCTCATCACCACTACCACCCACCAACATCAATCACCACCACCACCACTCAGCACTGTACAATAGCTAAAAAAACTATCTGTGCATACTTTGTAGGAAACTATATAAGACCTAGGACGATAAATATTGCATCTGTCACTAGTCACACGTCACTACACGGAGGCTGTCACTAGTCACACGGAGGGCTGTCACTAGTCACACGGAGAGCTGTCACTAGTCACACGAAGGGCTGTCACTAGTCACACGGAGAGCTATCACTAGTCACACGGAGAGCTGTCACTAGTCACACGGAGAGCTGTCACTAGTCACACGAAGGGCTGTCACTAGTCACACGGAGAGCTATCACTAGTCACACGGAGGGCTGTCACTAGTCACACGGAGGGCTGTCACTAGTCACACGGAGGGCTGTCACTAGTCACACATCATATTTCGGGGGAGCATATCAACCCCTCCTGCACAGATACTTGTTTTAGCTACTGTACATCTTTCAGCCTATTCTTCACCTCCTCTTTGGGTTTTCCCCTTTCCCTGCTACATTCCCCTTCTTTATTTTATTATTCTTTCTCTTTCCTCTCTGTCAGGTTGTCCATACCAACTAGGCAAATCCTCTCTCTCTCTTATTTCTGTATTTGTTATTCTGTATCCCATTCATCACTCATGTACTCAAGCATATTACAATAATAATAATAATAATAATACAGTAATAATAATAATAATAATAGTAAAACATTAATAATAAAACAAAAATAATATTCATACATAATAATACAGTATTCATATCTCTTCACACAGTCCGAGTTTTTCTACAGTCCGAATCTTTCTTTTTCCTTTGACCTCTCAGGGAAGCTCTTCTATGATGCTATGATGGATAGAAAGATGTTACCTGGAGGGAGATCCTTCTTCTGCGAGGGAGTTTCTTCTACCACTTCGATTCCTAAGAGTTGGGGAATGAGGTTCAGGGGAAGGAGTTTTTACTTACTGACAATGAGCTTCAGTGGCCTACAGCACCAAGGATCAGCAATGTGTTCTTCCCTGTAGAGTCAAATTACGGTTGATGTTTTGATAATTATGAATTTTTTTTTAAGACGCTCCTGCCTGGTCCACATAAGAGTATAGAAATCTTGATGTAACAGATGCTTTGTTAAATGACCAAACAATGCCTTCTAAATGGTTATCTAATGCTAGTCAGTCTCTTTGAGAGTCCTCTAATAAGCAGTATAATTCTCCTTGGGGTTGTTTCCAAATTATTTTAGATTTGGTGTTTTTAAAGGCCTCATTTTGCTGCTAACATATTGGTAGCCTATTAGAGTATTCAGCCAAGACTACTGACAAATGCTTCCATCATTGATAGTCCCATTACCTATTTTGTAACACATCTTTTGATGAGAATTGGTCCCTAGGTGACAGCTACAGCGATGACCTCAAGTTCATGTTGTCTATTGCTTTATTGAAGAAGGAACTTGAGTTTTTCTCTTTATATACTTCTTTATCAAACCCTGTCTCAGGTTGGAGTGTTTCAGAGGTTCATGCTCTCGGGGGGGGCCTGCCACTAGTTCTTTGTCTTCACCTTTTTTACTGGGTCACTGCTGAAACCAAGGACTAAAACCTTTTTGTCAAGAATGGAATGGTACAATCAAAGCCTAATGTATTAATGCAATGTATACCCTTCTCAGGATGGGAGTAAAAGCAGATCACTATACCATCTGTCCACGTAACACGAACTCACACGATAACAGCTTCGTAAGCATGATACATCATCAATGAACTATAATATTAAACTTAAAATTTTCTAAGTCTAGCCCTGTAAATACTAAGAGAATAATTAAAACAATTGTTGTTCTTTCTAATATGGAGGTCAATGACCTATATCTCAATCCAGAGAATTGTGATCTTTAGCCAAAGACTTTTAGAAGCAACTGTTTATTCAGGAATACCAGTACATTGCTCTGACTATATGGCCTTGGAAAGGATGTAAGCATGCAAGTTAAGCCAAGAGCTGGTAGTGGTCTGGCTCTCTCTGTCACTGGTCCTAAGATGGTCACTATGTTATGAATGACAGACCAGATTAGGGGTTCCAGTTACCATCCTCCTTTCTTAAGTGTTGAAAAAACAGCCGACAGTAAACTTGGATTGTTTTTTGGGTAAACATATGACCTGAGCTGTTGTGTCGCCAGGGATTTAATTACCACAATCAATCAATTTGTTTTGATCATCTACAAGTGACCACAACGAGGCTTACTGTTTACACTTGCATGATCCAACAGCCTCTCATTTATAAAGAAAATATTCAGGTGTCTTTTATGGCCCTTGAGCCTAGTTGACAGAACAACACAGGTACAGTATCCTGGTCTGGTCTGTCATAAAACTGGATTTCAAGATCAATCCATCATGTATCAGCCTTATCCACCAGCTAGTGTATCATGGTCACTCGTCCTCTTCAAGGGATGAATACTCTTGGTGAAGTCACACAAGTTGGTGCTCGGTACACTCAACAATCTTAAGCGTTTATTTTCTAGCTCTTTAATTCCTGAGGTTCTCAATTAGCTTCAATTCTTACAATGAACTAAATAAACTAAAATTTTCTTAAAGTTAAATCAGAGTAAAGAGTTAAACAACAAGTGTTTGAACTGTGCTTATGAATTCTTTATCATTTTCTTTCACTCTATCAAGCCTTTTCTTGCTTAATGCAGGATGGCCAAAACCAAGTAAAAATTCAGTCGCCTTCAACTGTCATACGTATCCAAAACAATCCACCTATCTCCACTCATGCTAACATTATTATTGTTTTTAATTCTTTTAAATCATTTTCTCACTACAATGCAATTGTCTGAAGTGAAGAGCAAATGCAAACACACATTCTCCCTTCATCCACAGTTCTGCTAAGGCATTGCCCCTTCACAGTCATGATACATCCCCCCCTGTCACAGCACAGGGTGTCTGGAATCAGGAGGAAGACAAACTCTTCCAGTATATGCTGTCAATCATTACTCTCTTAATGCTGTAACACATATATTCTGTTGAGGTGTTCCACTTCCACAATATGACTTCAAAATTCTCAACTGATTCACCCTAACATTTCATACAGTCCATCAACACCTCTACCCTCATAACCCTCTAACATCTGTTCACTAATCATGCACATCATCATCAGAATACCATAAAAAATGTGTATGTCCATTCAAGGTTTATTTATAACAATAATTCACATAAAATTATCTGAAATGACCACAAAACATGATGCAATAATAAGCACATTTCTTACACTGGTAGCAAGGATAAGAATTATATACCCACAATAAAAAACTTTCACAGGTCTACTTTCAGTCCTCATCAATTGTTCAAATAAATAATCTCTCTTTATCTGGGGAGAAATACCAAACTGTATACAGGATATACCTGGTACATAGTAATAATGGTGAAGGTCTGGCTCTTGTCTGCCTCTGCATTTTTAAATTTGACACAATATCCTAAGTTTTATCATAGAAAATGAACAGAATGAAACCAAGTGACACATGGTTTCAAAAAAAAATCCTACTGTATACTGTTCAATTACAATTATGAATCAAAATATAACTTAGGTTTAACAAAATGTACAGTCCCCCCCAATAAGTATCGTTAGCCATGGAGTCGATGTAATTCAAGGCTCTCCCAGCAATGCTACTTGACCTCTTTCTGAAAAGTTGGTAGTTCTACATCTGCCACCTTTGAATGATATCATTATGATGAAATAATTCATCAGTACCGTAAAGGGGATTTGGGTTAGGGAAGAATCTGCCCAAAAGAAGGCACTGGCTATCGGAGTCAAAGTCTGAAGTATAAGGCTCGACTGCCCTAGTACTATAGTATGTGGAGCCCTGCGATTGGTTCTGGCCAGGAGGTAGATAATATGGTGGACTTCAGAGTTCAAGTGTAATAGCCGTGAAGTCAACATGTGGTCTCCTGTCTCCCAAACCATATTTATCTTGTGTTATTGTGTACTCTTACTGCTCCAGAGTGATTATAAATTATATTGAGCTGTTGATGATTTACTGTTAAAGAGGGATTTACTGAACGGTTCATTTATTATTATATGTGAGCTTAATTTTTTCCTTTTTGTTTTGTACAGATTTTGTATAAAATTTATGTTATCAGTTATTAGTTATACTTTTGTCAATAAATTACTTATATGCAAACCTTTAAGATAATTTTCCTTACTTAGAAAACTAAAAAAGTTGAAGAGTTTTGTTGGGCAGGTTAAAATCTCGCCCTGCATCGTAACAACACTCGCATTAATATAGCTCAAGGGATTTATTGTTATACGTACAGTATTTAAGTATCTAGTACGCCACACATGGATGACTCCCTCCCCCAATCCTACCCTCATCTCTAGCGGTTGCCGATATGGCCAGCAAGCGTACCAACTTATGATGATGCGCTGGGAATCATATAAGAACATTTCGTCTAGCGTTTCAAATTATAGCGACGGAAAATTTAACGATACTTTTTTGGGGGACTGTAGCTACATTGTAAGCCTATAAAGCTATTCTGGTATATTCCAACACTCCTTAGTTCACTTCCTTGCTAAAAACACTCCACATCATCTGCTATGACTACCATCATCAGGAAATTCTTAGCTTCACATAAATGGCATTACAAAGAAATATATTTTATTCACATGACTCCCATTATTTGCTCTAACTACCAACACAACTTGAATATATACTTGTGATGCGAGATAAAAATTACTGGAATAAATGAGATAAAACAGCACAACAGTCAGGGTAAGTTCAGACACTCATTCCCTTGACTCAGTTTCACCACAGGGAGCCAACTTTTGTCCCCGACTGTACATCATTATTCAGGTTTTCAAGAAATAGAAACCCCTTCAGATAATCATCATCTGCTTATTTTCAACTTTCCACAAATTGCAAGGTGAGTATTGTATTGTACTTACAGAGAACATAATAAAGAACAAACTTTTTTTATCTCAGCAAGGTAATGAAGAACAATAAAACACAAATACAGTACAAATACACACTGTCTAACACCTCACATGGACCCAACATGGGGATTCAATGAGTGCCTATGAGCCTAACTTCACTTTTTCAACAACCTAAAACCTAAAATTTCCCAAGAAAATGTTCCTTCAATCTTAAATCAAAGTTATTGTTACACGAATGGCCACCACATCATTCACCACTACAGAGCATAGGAAAACTAGCTGACTATCAAATCTTTGAAGCTATGAACCAAAAGTGAAGAAATTAGATGGGGTGTAAAACCTCAAAGCTTCAAAGAGGTATGGGAAAAGGGAGGGACTCATTTAGGTAGAATATAAAACTGGGAGGGTGAGGGAAATCCGGAAAGCCTACCAGTAGACAAGAGAAGACAGACCATCGCTGGGGTGTTCTCCATATGGAAGTGGATCATGTAAGTTGTGTGTGCTATTTAGTGATCGAGGGCCTTGCTAATTAGTTAAGGTTAGGTCTTGATATTGGCAGGAGAAAGTTTAGGGAGATACAGCCCTTACTAACTGTGCCTGGCAACCTTTTAATATTTACTGAATTGTGTTAAGTGTAGTGTCAAGAGGATGTATAGATGATGTAATATGGAACTATGTAAAGCCGACTTAGAATGATGAATTAGTGATTCTTGAAGGTTTTGTTTGTCCCTATGTCTTTATAATTAAATTTATTGAGAGATTGTTAGTTGAATATTTTATACTCCTGTGTTACAATGTGAGGATCTGGAAAGTAAGTTGTTCCCTCCTGTTACCCGTCGCCTGGCCAAGGATGGGAACAGTTATGCCCGTGTACCCTTTGAGGCTAATGTAAGGTACAATATACCAACAAATAAAGGTGCGACTTCTAACGATAATTTACCTCCACATAGCGTCAGGTTAAGCTCCCCAAAATATTCATAGCTCTGCCCCTGAGCATAGTTTTTATCTTCCAGTCAGAAATCTCAAAGTATGTAGAAGTTATTTAAAATGAACCCTATAAACCATCTGCAGTATGAAAAGCATATGTACAGGTTGCTCTTGTTCAGACGGACTTCAATGGAACCATATACACATATCCGCAGTTTACTTTTTACCAACCAACTTTGTCTATACCGAGCTAGCGTTTACATCTACATGGCTGCACATCACAGCTTACTCTCTCTTCCTTCCTACCTACCTTACTTCTTCCAACTTAACACACATAATGCCCAATGGACTAAGGATCATACCATTTGCTTGATCAATAGTGCCACTGTATAAAACTCAAAACAACACAGCCAATGAGCATCTTATCTCAAACAGTCATCATTAAATATAAAACATCTTAATTGAACTACTGTACATGAATCTACAGATACTACAAGTACTAATATCATTAGTAAACAAACTACATCTTAATGTATGAATCTATGTTTACTACAATACAGTACAGCTACAGTAAACTAATATAATAAACTTTTCCCGGACTATCTCACCAATAAATTGTCTTGAAACAATCTATATAAATCTATTAACTGTTTAACACAGGTACAATGATTAAACTAATAAAATTAATTTCTTGTCACTAAAAGTACAGTTGTTAGTAATAAACACCTAAATATAAAAATCTTAGGGCACTACACATACAATGATCGGACTCTTAATCATCCTCAGAGTACGGGAGGAGGGTCTCAGGAGGGCTCAAGCAGCTTCAGTAAGTGGCGTTCCATGATCACTTGTACTGTACAGGAGAAATAAATATATGAATAATTTATATTGGATTATTCAAAAGATAATCCATACATTATAATACAGTAGTACCCCGATTTACGCGGTCAATTGAACCCACAGGGTACCGCGGAAAGTGAAAACCGCGTAAAGTGAACAACAGACCATATGGGATTAATTCCAATAGAGACCGGCCCGACCCCCAAACTCCACTTTTTCCGACACAATACCTATGTTGTAGTAAAAATAACATCTAAATTTTATGATGGTACGCTCACACAATTAATATTTAAGAGAAATACAGTCGCCAGGTTAGTGTCCATTCAAATAATGGACTCAAATCCCCCCCCCACCCTCTTCCCAGCTCACTGACCCCTACCTCTCTGAGAAATGATTGGGTGAAACACTAGATTTTAACGTTTAGTAATAAATAATACCTCAGACTAAAGTTAGGATAATATAATTGACATTTCTGGATTCCTTGCAGGTCAGGGAATATTTTGAATGTAAATGTCATATATTTTGCACAAAAGATAAAATATTTGCTTTGTGTAAACCAAATTATTACATTAGATCTAAAATTTGTATGTCTAATGCAAAATCCATGATGTTTATATTCAAAATGATCATCATATTGTAAGAATTCCAGCAATGTAAATTATATTCTGGCCGGGTAATTTGTATGAATTTTATGAGCTAAATAAAAAAAAATATATATATATACTTCACGCGTATATGAGTAGATGCACCACGGAAAGTAAAAGTCTGGTTCTGGCAAGGTACCGCGTAAATGAGAATCGCGGAAAGTGAAACCGTGTAAAGCACCGTGTAAAGCGGGGTAATACTGTACATGAGAAATACATACTGTACCATAATTCTTTCTAAACCAATACTGTACAATACATTACTGTATAATACAAAATAATACACTCTGTATTAACCATTGGCTAATTCATAAATTACAATAGCAAAAGACATACTGGGTTATAAATACAGTAAATTAATCTGTAAATTATAATAACTGTACAGTATGTGAATAAATAAAACCTACCATATCATTCATAAGCTAACTCTTCTGCCAGTTGTTCTCACCACAGAAATCTCTCAAGAGTCCCAGGAAAAGGTTGGTGGATTTTGGTTAAGTGAAATACTACACTCAAGTCTTTAAGAACATTCTCTAGGAGATTAATCAAAACTTTTATAGAACTATCACAGCCGGTGTAGCAATTAGTTTTATACTTAATTACTTTTAGTCATTTCATATTTGGAGATAAATGGTCTGTACAGTAAAAGTCCAAAAATCCGGATGCCAGGAATCCGGACCACCTGAGAATCTGGACTTTTCGAAAACTCAAACTTTTTAAATTTAGCAGGCTTTTGTGGGTTACGTGAATGAATGGAGTTGCTTTAAAAAATTAATTTACATAATTCTAATAATAAAAGTAATTGTAAATTATAGGTAGCTAATTTTGTTAGTTTTGTAATTAGCTTGAACTGAAATGTAAAATTTGAGGCACTATAAATCTTTTGTGTGTATGTGTGCATGCGTGAATGCCACAGCTGCACAGCGACAAGTGACCACTCGATCGCCACTTTAAAACAAGCAGTCAAACTGTGACAACGTATGTAATTTCAAGTCCTACTCTTTTCATGTACAGAGTACAAGCCCATAATAATGGCCCCTAAAGTAGATAAACTTCGTTGTGTGAAGAGAAAGAAGAACACATTGAAATTGAGTGACAAACTTGAAATAATCAAGAAACTAGAACGTGGTGTGAGCAATACTGTTCTAATGGAAACATACGACATTGGAAAGTCTACAATTTATGATATAAAAAAGGCAAAGAAAAAAATTCTAGAATTCACAGCTTCTTCTGAGCCTTACATTAAAATTGCTGAAAGAAAAAGTTTACATTGACCCAAATTAGAAAATCTTGATTAAGTGTTGCAAGAATGGTTTTTGTTAAAACGATCAGAAGGTATGGCAATTTCTGGGCCGATGCTTATTGCTAAAGCAAAGTCTTTTAAGGAACAAATGAACATTAAATCAGTGCGCGCATTTAGTGATGGACGGCTTAGGAATTTCAAGACTCGTCATGGTACTAGACAGTTTGTTTACATTTTTGTCTAGTGTTGACTTTATTTTTCTTTAAAACTGCTCCTTTTGATAAATGAAGCATGCTTTATTTGCTAATGGATAAACTATCAAAATGTACCTGTTCATCTCTTCTTTATTCCTCCTTAAATTTTAATTTTAAAAGTACTGCCTGAGAATCCGGAAAACCCGAAAATCCGGACCGATCCAATCCCCAAGCAGTCAGGATTTTTGGACTTCTACTGTACATTCAAAGGGTTAGAACTAGGGAGTTAGTTAGGAGACGGGACAAAGAGTATCAGCAGTACAGTATAATCCCCCTAGTTTGTCAATCAGCACTTTACGTAATGGTTTCATCTACAACAATTTAATAACAAAGCGATCTATAATCAGGATAAAGGCTCCCATGCTTGTATATCCGGGTCTTAAATCAGTTTCTCTGATCACACTCTCCCCATTTTTAATTTGTACTTTTAGCTTTTAAGGTATGCAAGACAATGGCTCTAAGGGACACTGATGCTCTGTCTGGACCATACAGATGGCCAACGCTTCACATGGAGGTTATGTTCCAGAAACAGTTTACATAAAGAGCACCATTTAATATACTTAATTTCAATGCATTCCAAGACCTCTGCTGAACCACCTAATGTTGTAGTGTTTCAGAGGGAAGGACAAACTAAATGTTATGTTTGTATAAATGTAAGAGAAATGAAGGTGGTGAATTAATTGGGATTTTTAGGAACACTTTTTACCAAACAAAGAAATGGAAAAGGTGAGGGATAATACAGAAATGTGAAGAAAAACAAAAGACATCTGGAGACTATCAAAAAACAAAGTAAGGAGACGGCATGAAAGACACAACCGTATACCCAATCCAAAAATACAGCCTCAGGATGTAGGACAAGAGGAGAAATAATACAGAGCAATAGAATCAAGATAAAACAACATGCCTTGTTTGCTTCCTCTGGTCACTGCTATACTGAATGCAGAAGAACCAGCAACATTTGTAGCTGTGATGTCTGCTCCGTGCTCCAGCAGCTCATTTGCACAGTGTGAATGGTCATTATGTGCTGCATACATTAATGCAGTATTTCCCATCTGTAAAATCAAAGCTTCTATCAACGGCATGATAAAATAAATGAAATTAGTTCAAATCTTTTTTAGTTATCATTTCGCCACTTATCAGCTTAGTAGCCAGTTGGGTGGTTGGTTTATCCAGTGTTAGTACAGGAGGAGACTGGAGTACCTGGAGGAAACTGGTGACATTTGGTAGTGAGGGTCACACAAGAGAACACCCTTCTCACATGGGCTCAGGTTCAAATCCATGACACAGTAGTGAAAGGTACAATCATTACCACAGTACCACCAACACACAATTTATTATTTTAAAGATAGTACCATTAATAATGTAAAACTCACTGAGGTAAAAGTTGTGAAAAATAATAAATATTTTAAAGTTATCTGCAGGATACTGTGAGGTAAAGTATTCCCTATAGGTGCTAGTAAAAAATTTGTTATACTGTAATATACATTACTTCTTTAAACTCAACTGTGTCATATTGTTAGATCAATTTAAGCTACAGACTTTAAAATATGTAAAATATTTATCTATCTTCATTTTAAGATCCCATAGAATTCAGCAGGAAACAATATATTTACATGGTCAACATGGTTGGGGTCGGCACTAAAACTGATCAACAGTTTGATTATTTCATGGTGGCCGTTGCTGGCAGCCAGAAGAAGGGCAGTTTCTCCGTCTTCTCCCTGACAAAGAAAAAAAGCATACAATAATTAACTCGTTTCTATCGGAACAAAAAACATTTGTCGTCAACAAGTCTTTTTTACTATTCAAACCATTAGGACTCATGAAAAGCACCAGAACTAAAACTTCGTCAGCTAAATGGTCACCTGTAATAACAAAGCACAGAATGGACTTGAGGGTAGACTCAACATTTTTAATACATTTGTGATTATTTGCGAGAGGATTTTCCCAGTGTTATTTATTTGTATGTGTTTTGCTTGTGTCCACACACACACACAAACATATATTAC